TTTTTTTAATTTTTGCACAGTGTTTGAAATGTGGATTTATATTTTGTTTATTATATAATAAGCTTGGCTTTTATGAAAAAATAGTAAACATTTTTTGTATCCTGTTGACGTTTGGACGTTTTTTGTGTAAAAAATGACGTTTTTTAACCTCCCAGTAATTTTTCTCTGTTACTAAATCTTGTAATTTGAACTGATTTTGAATTATTTTGTCAATAAATCTTTATAAGCTTTGTGTTTTGCAGTAGCTGCTTCAAAAGATATTTATTCTTTGGACACAGATGACTTAAATATGATGCATACCATGTGTACGCGCATTTTTTTTGGATTCTTGGACTAAGGATCCCGTGTCAAAGGCTGGTTGTGTAAAAACTTGAGGTTACGAGGCTTATTGTAATGTTTGCAATTGCACATTAAAAGCCAAATCATCAAGAGCTGATCTCTTGCAACACTCACGCTCGCAAAAGCATCAAAAAAGCTGTAGCAGCATAAAAAGTCAGAAAAAAGTAGGCGACTTTTTTAATACTTCATTGAAAATTTAATGAACCCAGAAAAGGCTGAAATATTGCTATGCTCCTTCTTAGCAGAACGTAATATAGCATTTTCGACACCGACCCCTTACCAAATGTCTACAAGAAAAAAAATTATGAAAAATCAACCCGATTCTTTAGCAACTTAAAACTGGCACATTATTGCCCCGAAATTTAATGTGTTATCAAACTGCGTACTCAAAAAAATTCTAAAAAACCTAAATAAAAATTTGAAAATCTAGCTGAAGCTTTGCAGATTTTTTTTAATTTTTGCACAGTGTTTGAAATGTGGATTTATATTTTGTCTATTATATAATAAGCTTGGCTTTTATGAAAAAATAGTAAACATTAAATAAACAAAAGAGAAACAGCCAAAATCGATCAAAATGGTGATGACTTAATCAGTTGATGACAAGTGTATGTAAATGATTTTTATATTAACAATCTCAAACCAGTTTACAATGAATTTTATATGTGCTCTGTCAAAGTGACATTTTAATATACCTTACGTACATACTATGTACCTTTGTATACAATAAACGTTTAATAAGAATAGTTTGTTGTACATTCATTTGAATAAGACGTTTTTGGGTAGGAAATGACGTTTTTTCAGACCAACAGGGACGTTTTCTCATGCCGAAGACCTAGCAACACTGATTGTGAAGATATTCATGCTCACTAGTTTACAAGCAAGTCAAGCAATTGTGAGAGAGTAACATTTTTTAGTGAGAGCAAGTTAGAGTGAACAATGGGCTGATTCATGAGCATGTGAGCATATTCATAAACTGAGCTATTCACTGCCGAACCCTGTTGTGTAGCGCTGCCACTGGATTTCAGAATATGTAAATATTTTAAAATTTTTAAAAGAGCACTTAAAAGGGGAAAATTATAAGTAGTAAATGGGGTACGAAAAATTTAGGTACTTAGGCGGATTGGGTAAAGCGGGGAGGTACTTAAGAGAGGAATTTTCTTCAGATTACATTAAAAAATTCACGGTGCCCAAAAATGTTGGTTACTTAAGGGGTTAGGTACTTAAGCGCGTGGGTACTTAAGCGGGTTTCACTGTAATCCAAATTGAGGCTACTATTTTTTTGCTCCATTTTCACTATTTACCACCAACAATGCAAGCAAATTTTGACAGCCGCTTTTGTTGCATAGCGCCACTTGCGGATACTAAAATTTAGGCTAATCTATTTCGCCTTTCTTTGATAAATAATTGCAAAAAAGAAGCGTTTTTTTCTTCTAATAGTTTCATGGAACTTTGGCAAATATCAACAGCATCAACTTTTTGCAACATGGTTGACAATCGAAGAAAGCTTTTCTTTTTTAAAACATCCTAGCAGCCAAACTTCAAACAACTCGCCTTTTGTAACAGCATAGTAACCCAGAAAAAAGAGTTTTTCTTGAAAACGGCTAAAAACGGCGGCTTAAGTAAAAATAAAATCAACTCATTACATCTCAATTTATTTAATTCCTTTTCCCTTTTGTTTGCCGAAAGTTAACAAAATTGTAAAAGCTTACCTAAAATCATACATGGGAATAAATCAGAAAATTTTTGAGGTTATGCAACGAAGTCTATTTTTTTACAACAAATGATAAAAGGCCATTTTTTTTGATTGGGACATAGGTACTCACTTATATTTTTGCTTTCCATTGAAAATGTAGCTTACCTATCCCAACTTTATAAAAAAATTCACTTTAAATTTAAGAAATAAACAGGTTACGCAAACAACGTGTTAATAACGTTTTGAAAGTGTAACTTTGTGTGATTGCTGTCTAACGGTGTTTTTTATCTTACAAAAACAAAGTGAAGTTTTTGTTATGTTGGATTGGCAACAAAAAATAATGTAAAACTGCGTTTACGAAATGTGACTTTCGCACAACCAAATGAATCATTTGACCTAATGTGCAGTGATCACAAAAAAAATAATATTAGTTTAAAGGGGCTTGGATGGGATTTAGATTCCGACTGTGTCACAGTTTTTTTTATATAGTGCTTATCATAACTGTAAGACACCAAAAGGTCAAGTTTTGACTATTTTTTTTTTTATTATTATTTAATTTTGATTATTTTTTTTTTATAAAAATATAGGTTATTCCTTAACAAAAACCGAATAAATCTAAGTTTCAAACTTCTTAAAAATATCGGTATTTTTAATCAGATATAACATTAATTAACAGTTTTTTTCCCAAAAACTGGACGTGCAAGAAAAATTTTGTAAATGCACTTCAAATCAGCATCAAAACATCTATTGCCGATTTCGTTTCTACCGAAAAATGCAACCTTCTATTTGCCCTCTACGCACAAAGACTAAGAAGAGGGCGATGAGAAGGCAACATTTTTTGTAGAAACGAAATCGCCATATAAGACGAGGCCGGCCCCGTTTTTGAGATAAATACATCAAAATTTTGTTGAACCGTGTTATTATATATTATATTATTATTGGCAGGCATTCGAATTAAGCGTATAATTTGAAATAAAAACTGGGTACTACTAATTAAAAAAGGAAATTAGCGGTCAATTAGTATTTTTGAAATATTCATATATCTACACATGTTTAACCCACAAGAATTTGAAATTTTTAGCTTTCGTACAAAAATTCAAAAAAGATTTGTTGACGCGTATTTGGCTGGTAATAAATATAACCTTATTCTTTCCTATTCTGTATTAACAGTGAAACGTCCTAGAGCAGGAGATCCGTTCGATACATTTCCAAAGAACTTTTGGCAAGAATTCTCATCACCTTTTACGGACACGCCAGAGGATGAAGAGTCGGAAATTACAGAGACTACAACGCATGAACCCTTTCCGTTTTTTGCTGATCCGTACACAACAGTAAACATCAGCACGCAATTGAGTTCAGATGTGCATCTTCATTGCAGAGTCAACGATTTGCAAGGAAAAACGGTGAAAAGCATTATATATTTGATTTTCTAACTGAAACTGCATACGTATTTATGTACGAGGGTCACTAAAACGTCCCTAAAATACATATGTAAGAAAGAAACCAGTTAAAATTATATTATTACTATACCAATTACAAACACTGGCCCTGGTGGTGTTTCATCACCAAAAATCGAAGTAAGTCCATCGTTGCACTAATATTGTTTTAATCCTAGTCGAAAGTTATATATGTACAATCATTCAACGAATACCCGTTTTTAATATTACTATTATTTTTACTACTTTAAACTTTGAAATGACAGTAACAAACACAAAGAGCGCAAAAAAATGCAAAAAATTGTATGATGCAAAGTTCAAATCGAATGGCATTAGTTTTGCGAGTTCTAAAGACTTTTTAGTGACATGTTTTAGTCCAGTGTTTCAGAAAGACTTCAGAACCCGTCAAATATATATACATACACTAGGCGGCAAATGAATGTGTATATCTTGTTCTAACATACTATTCACAATAATTTTCATGAACAATTTTTGGCATTATTTATTTACGAAAATATAGTTCATTCTATAATATAAATCATATGAGTCAAAGTTTCACACTTTATGTAAAGTTCAGAAAAATTAAAAAAAATCATCAAAATTTAAAATTTTTTTCAAAATTTCTAGAAAATTTTCGAGTATTTAGTTTTGTAGCCCATTCAATTTAAGTAAACGAAGTACAAGTTTTAGGTCGCTAAAAATTACCGTTGTTTTTTTTTGCTTTTTTTTGGAGGGGCGCAACACCCTCCAACTTCTTCTATATAACGCAGGATCCAAATATGGAAGAAACAGGCGCAACATCCTCCACAAAAAAAAAATTAAAAATAATCAACGGCAATTTTTAGGGACTTGAAACTTGCACTTTATTTTACTGAAATTGAATGGGCTACAAAACTGTATAGATACTCGAAAATTTTCTGGAAATTCTGAATAAAATTTTTAAATTTTGATGAAAATTTGTTGAATCCTTGTAAACTTTATATAAAGTGTGAAACGTTGATTTATAGGGTTTATATTCTAGAATGAACTATAAGTATTTTCACAAACAATTAAATGCAAAATTAATGCAAAAAATTGTGCATGAAAATAATTCTGAATATTATATTAGAACAAGGTGTACACTTTCATTGGTCGCCTAGTGTATGTACTATTATGATTTTTTACCTTATTTTGACTTGCGGCCGCTGTAGCCGAGTGGTTAGACATTCGGTGGGACAAAATTCCTTAGTCCTAGCGACATCCAAAAATATAAATAGTTTTTTCTAACAGCATTCAAGAGGTGTAAAATTGTAGGCCCCTCTGTCTATGTCATAACATCAAGAAGAACATGAAAAATGGTGGGAGAAGCTCGGTCAAATGCTTGTTTTGGAGTTTTAAAAAACCTTTGGTGCAAAAAAATGCGTTTGCACTAGGTGTTATAAGTCCCTTAAATAATTGCACTGAGCTCTTCCACCCTATCGTTACCTAATATGGTTAGATCCTTTGGTAATATCTCAATTCCGATCTGTGTATGTATTAGAGCGCTGCATGAATTCATTCAAAACAGCTTATGGATTATTCATACACAAAACGAATGAATGATTTTGGCTTCAAATTTTTTTGAATTTGAGTGAATACCTCATATATATTCTGATATATGTGTCGACATTACAATATTCAAACAAAGTGAAAATAAATTGAATTGAAATAAATGACAATTTTTTGTATGAATATCCAAAAATATTCTTTCTGTGTACATGCCCTGCAAACCAAAGTTCCCGAAATCTTAAGGAAATCGTTAGGAGTATCTCATTTCTGTAACGATTTGTTTACGAATTTTCAAAGAAAATTATATGAAGTGGTTGACACGAACTCGTAAAGAAATTTCTGTACGAAAAATAAAGAAAATTCTGAAAGATATTCTTCACATAGCAGCATTATTTTCGTTGCTTCACAGATTTTCCTCCGAAATTTCGTAAAAGAATGGAAGTGTGCGTAATTTATTTCATTTTAGAAAATTCGGCAAAAAATCGAATTAAATCTTAACAAATTCTTTAAAATTTCTTTACAATGCAAAATACTCTGAAAAAATGGTTTGCAGGGTACCCAGCCAGCAAGAAAACGTACATTTTACGAACATTATGTTTTACGAGGGATTCTCGTATCGCCAAAAAGTTAGAGAAAAGCTCGTAAACGATAAAACAAAAAAAATATAATAGAAAGAGGCTTGTAGTAATTTGTCAGCACAAGAAAAAATTTTAGTTTTGTTGACAATTTTTTTCTTCAATCACAATATTTTAAAAGTAAGTAGTTTGTTAAATATTCAATTTAAGAAAATTATTAAGTATGTGATTTATTGGCAGACTGGTGCAAACGAAAAGGACGATCTACCACTTTCTTTTGTAATTAAACTTCTTGTAAGTAGCTACTACATATGTAATTCCGAAATACAAATTAATTTAACGAGTTTTGCAATTCTTTCACAGGCTGCGCGGAGCAACACTACAGGACTTAAACGTTTAATTCCCCTATAGCACTATTGGTTTGGCAACGACTGCGGCAATAAGAAGTACGGATAATAAAATTATTTATTACCACTTTTTACTTAATTAAATTTTCCGATTTCCAATGGAGTTTGATCTTTCACTTTATTTTCTTAGGTGCTTTTCGTCAAAAATTTAACTCCGACAAAGAAGTTTTTATTTCCGTTTCAAAGAAGCACTTCCAATATGCACACGACCGGCAAAAAAAAATTGGCAGCCTATCTGCAAAAAAGATAAAAAGTAAATTCAGCTACTTTATAATATATATTAAACCCCTCTTATTTAATTGTTAATTTGTTAATAGATAGTTTGTTAATATTTATTTATCTGAAAATATCTTCACATATATGTACAGTGCCGGGAAAAAAATATTGGCACAGAGAATTTTTCGCCATGAATGCAAAGTTTTTTATTCTGATTTCTTCTCTAAATGTTTTTTATAAAAATATAGTTAGTATGAAGTTCTACTTTCAAATCAGCTTTTTTAGAAAAACTGTAAGTATGCAGTTTTATAGCCCATTTAATTTTAGTATAATAAAGTGCACGCTTGAATAGCTAGAAAACCTCTTTGTTTTTGGCAATTTTTTTACACAGTTTCTTTCATACAAAAAAAAAATGTCGCACATAATTTGCAGGGAAGAAACTGCGTGAAAAAATTGCCAAAAATCAACGCGGTTTTCTAGCAACTTCAAGCTTGCACTATGTTATACTAAAATATAATGGGATATAAAACTGCATACTTAGAATTTTTCTCAAAAATCTGATTTGAAAGTAGGTCTTCATACTAACTATTATTTAAAAAAAAATGTGCGAAAAGAAATTCAAGTAAAAAACTTTGCATACATTGCGAAAAATTCTCTGTGCCAATACTTTGATCCGAAACTATAAATATTTATTAATTATAATTCCATTCAATAAAAGAACTACA